TCGGGTGAGCCCGTGACCATGTACGTGGCTCGGGCAAAGGATTTGTTTGGGAACTTGAGAGCTACCAGTCTCGAGTTGAAGCCGGATGAGCTGGCTTGGAGCGTGCTGGCGGGATTGCCGAGCTCGTTCAGTACCCTGAGAACAGTGTTAATGGCTTTGGAGGGCAACATGAGCTTGGTGGATGCGATCTTGCCGAAGTTCTTGGTGCATGAGCAAGGATTTCAGCTGCCCAAGGATGACAGAGGATGTCCAATTGGCCTTAAAAGGAGAGCTAGAACAAACGAACTTATTGCAGGTCCTGTTCGAGGTCGTGCTGGGTGTGTATATGTGCGGGCCACTTCCCTGCCACGCCTCGCAAAGAGAATGTTATCACCAGTCTCACGTCTAATAAAAACCGCTTACAAAGCTAATACGAGGACAGCGAGTCGTTTTGAGTCTCTTCTCTAGCGGGCTGTCTAAAACACAACTCTTCTCACTTTTTTGAAAGGAATAAACGTGTTATTTATTCAGTCGAGCTCATTAAGCCTGCTGGCAAGCATCCTGGCGCGACTGGAGTCGCATGAACATGCGGAAGATTCAATGTAGAAGCTCCAGCACGTGCCACAGCCGCAAGAGGGGAGGGGAAGACGGCGGAGGGCACTCCGGCCGGTCAGGATCGGCCTGTTTAAAATACACAATTCCAGCAACCATTAGCCGGCTTGTTTAAGGGAGGACATTTACAGATTGTTTCACATACCCTTCAAGAAAAGAACGCAGAAGCTCTACTACGGATGCCTCCAAACGTTGCTTCCATAAAGCGAGAGAGTTGTCGGCTCCACTCTAATGTCCAGGCCGGTAGCTTTGGCGATCGGCGTGCTACTGGCACGACTCGGAAAGAAATGGCACGCTAGCATGAAAGAAACAAACACTTGTGGGCAGTTGTTTTACGCTCGTTGTGCAGCTTGTTGTTGTGGCAAGCATTCCAACTCAAGCAAAGAGTCGGGCACCGAATCTGCCACAAGTGCACCCGCGGACAGCGGGGCGTTTGTCTCGCAGCATCAAGATTCTGTTGAAGAAGAGGCCTGCGAGGGAAACCTTGGTCGGTCAGCGTCGGCCTGTCAAAGACACCGAATGCTGTCACTGGCCACGTGTCGGCGTTTGGAACCAGATGGCCTTCAAAGGCAATTTGGAAGTGGAATGACTTCCCCTCAACCAACATTGGGTTTGCCAAGAAACTACATTTCATGAATTTGCGAGCTCCATCACAATATGGGCCAAAACCCGATTTGAGTACCCTCTGCTAAGGGAACCTTTGAGCAGGTTTTGCAACCTTACTCGTGCAAATGGATCGTGCGGCACGCTTCCTACCCTCGTTGTGGCCCCTTGCACAGGTGGGGGACTGGGTGCAGGAGGGGCGCTTGTTGGCGCACGTGTGTGCGCAATGTGGGGAAGGGGAGACGAAACCGGCAGAAGAGGCTCCGGCGGGTTTGATTCCATGTGTCCAAAAAAAAGCACAAAAAGCAATTACGAGCCATCATCTTGTAAGACTCTTTAAACAGACCCAACGACCATAGAGTAGCACAACGGAATATGCCTAACTCCGTCCTCAAGCAAAAGATAGTTTTAGAGTGTAAAAGATGTCCATGCGAATGTAAAAGGTGGTCTGCGATTAATGTGTAAGAGTTCATATTTACACTTTTAAATACTAGGAGAGACAACAAGCACGTGTTGAAAGAGATAATAGGAATAGGCTGTTGAGAGTGAGTACAGAACAAGCTGTTCGAAGTCACCTTTGCAAGCACATGCAAAGAACGAAGAGCAAAACCAGTGGCACATGCGCCCAATGAAGATAGCGCACTAGCGGGCGGTGTATAAGAAGGAAGGGAAAAGCTCGTGAAGAAGTCTCTAACCGGTCTACCTGGGCCTGTCAAGAATACGGAAAGGATCGCCCGACTTAGCACTATTGAGGCGAACCGTCTCATCGGCCGTTTAACAAAGAGAAGCACCCCAAGCTGCCACCAAAATCGCAAAGCCGGCCGATGAGTATCCATTCGTGTCGCGTGCCTTCTGGAAACCCAATTCTCAAAGATATTGAAACAACTTACTTCGGAACTGACGAGGAACATGTGCATGTAGCCCGCTTGCCCCCACGAGGTTACTTAGTACCTGTTAGGCAAAGATTCTAAGACTGCTGTATGTTTGGTGAATAGTTGGAGCCCCCTTAGATAAGAGCGATGTCGAGGGCGTTTCCACGGCTAAATAGAAGTGGAATCTGAGAAGAATCGGATACCAGAATCCGTCAAACACCGAGCCCATACAGAGACAAAACGCATAGAAGCATGTGTTTCGAAGGAGGACGCTGTTGTGACGCTTGTACGCAGTTGTGAAAACTTCACGAAAGCGTATGCACGCCTGGAAAGTCGGACAATGCTCGAGAGGCAGGCGTCTAATAATGCAAGCTATGCTGCCAAGACCCCGGCTTGAAACTCGCCGTGTTTGCAATCTGGGTTTGAACCAAGGTGGGAACCAACGTAGCAAATTGCTAGAGCGCCTATGGGTCTAGGGATTGCAGACAGTCAGGCACCGAAGCGAGGAGGAGTGCAGCCTGCTTGAGGTCTCCCATGGCTAACATGGCCCCGCGTCTTCTCACGAGCTTTTGCAGCATTGCGTCCTAGCCATGGTAGAGTGGGATGCCCGTGAAAGAGAGTCTCAAACCACACCCTCAGAAAAAGTCCCCCTTGGTGCAGCCTCCACCCCAATCTCGTTGGCCAAGTAAAGCGTGTGTACAGCGTGTTCTTGCAAAAACAGGTTGTCTTGTGTTGGGGGCTTGTTGCAAATTAAATTCAAGTCGGCAACAAAACCTTGGACCAACACCCACATGAAGCAAAGCCTGGCAACCTTCGTCGCTTTCTTTAGTCGAGCTACCTCAACGTAGATGATCGAGCGGTCGAAAACGTTCTTGTCCAGCAAGTTGTCCTCCTTCACGCAGTCCACACACACAAGTTCTAGAACTGCGCGGGATGGAGGCTTGGGCTCTTCTGCTTTGAGCACGAACTGCTAGGCATAGATCAGCACCACACTTTTTACACGAGTAACCCTCCAAAGTTTTTCGGTTTTTGAATTCCCCTATGCGGGGAGGGGGGTAGCGCCGCTTTCCTTCTCTGACATTCTGCTTATGATCAGGACTGCGTCTTTCAACCCTCTGCACAGCGTCCTTGCCAGCGATCTAGACCCTCTCAATCAGCCCTTTAAACCACGCCATTGCGTACCCGCACACCTGCCCCTGCCGCTCCCCCTCCTCCAAAAACTACGGGGCCACCAGGACCACTAGAAACATCATCACCTCTTCAAATAGATTAGGATTGGAGTCGATTTCAGAACCTCCTTCACATACTGCCACTCAGCCCACGCGCCCAGCAGATATCGGAACAGAGAGATTACGAGCGCCACATTGACAGCGAAGGCCTCTTAGTACCCGCTGTTCCGCACATGAATCACGAGATCAACGGTGTAAACATGATGTATTCTGCTCGAGCTGCTCTGTCTGAAATGCACAAGCGCACCTCGTCAGCCAATTTCAGGAATTGAACCATTTTGGCACCGTACATGCGAAAAACCGAACTTATTTGGTAGTGAGCAGAGTGTAGAGATTGATTTCGCAAAACCTACGGCCATGTTGACAACAATCAAGCCTGTTCTTGTGGAGGCCGACCGTCAGCACGGACTACCCCGCTTTCTGAGTCACCGTATAGTACGGGATCTTCCACAGTTCTAAGAGCGCTGTCGGAAGGACGATCTCCTTCCGAACAAAGGCCCTTTCGAAGAACCCCCCTAGTTTTGCCCCCAACTTCTTTTGCAGCGTCCTTTGCAAGGCTGGGGGGATGCTTATCCACTGCTTCTCTCTGTTCCCGTTAGGTCCGCATTTATACCCTCGAACAACGATTTCTCCTTGTGCACGGCAGTGGTAGTACCTCTCGTATATGGGGCAGATGCTAAAATAATTGCTCTGATGGTCCTCGCGAATCCACACTCTATACGAAGGCTAAAAAAACGACTCTGGCCAAGGTGCGACCCATTCTTGGCTCTGTATTTGTCAACGCCAACGGAGTTTGATGCGTACTCCTTAGCGCCGCATTTGGACTGGGGGGGAATTTCGAGGGAAATAGTGCTTCCGTCGAAAGTCTGCCAGGGCTTGGATCTTAGTCGATCCTTTTTTCAGCTCCCGCACGGAACGCTACTCCAAATGGCTATCGAGAAGCTGCGGAGAGAGATTTGAACGGGTGCAAGCGGATGAGTTGAGAAGTGACCTCCAGCGTTGTGTACTTTGCGCGGCTCTCTTGCTTGGGCAAGCCCTCTATGTCCAAAGTATCTTTCTTTCGTAGGCACGCCCCTGCACTTCGAGCGTGGGAGACGAGCTTGCTCATGAAAGCTTCTGTCCCGCCAGCCCTTCTGACAGCATCTTTTTTAAATAGAAAAGCAGGACCTTCACCCTAGCAGGACGACATCGCTGCGCCTTCACATGCAAGCTTTTTGAGCCCCACTACTTGCACAACTAGGGATGCTCAAAATGGCTCGAAATGCCAAAAGCCAGGCGCCAACCACCACCAAACGGATGCTAATGCTTCACCTCTGTGCACTGTGCTCACGGAAGAGCCTTCTCCAAGTCTGTAGAGCAATTATGGATCTGACACTATTGTAAAACATCAATCTAAAAGAAGTTTGTGGAGAGTCGAAGGAAGCCGCTCGTGAGGCTCTTCTTTAGGATGCATAGTTGCCATCAATGAATGATGAGCATGAGTGCCGGAAAACACGATAAAACCCAATGACGAGTACCTCAACTTCACCAAGAGTCCCTAACCATGAGTTTCAATAGAAGGAAGCCGCTTGTGAGATGCTTCGTAAGTTCATCTTTGATCTCATGACTGCCATTAATGAGTGATGGCGGTCATGTTGAAACATGGCGTCGTTGGGAATGAATGAACGAATGGTCAAATTCACACAATATATATCGAGTGTTCGGAGTCTAGCGGCGCTAAAGCTATGCAGTCCGTGTGCAATGCTAGACTCATCCAAGTAGAGTCACACTCCTTCAGCCTAGGTCTAAACTGATA